TGTTCTCGTTCTCAGCATGGTTTCGTGAGTTTGTGAGAAGCTTTTACTCTTCCTGATTCATTTTCTTCTGTTTTCTTCTTAGTGGACAGTTGCAATATTCTAGTCATTGGCTTCACGTATTCGCATAATAATCCCAACCCCTGTTCCGCCGTCAGTAATTTTTATTATACTTTAACACGGCTATTTACAGTGGGGTCGGTATCAACTGCCTGGGGTCGATTAAATTTTTAAAGGGGTCAATGGTGATCAAGGTGTAGTAGGGGTCAACAGCCAAATATAAATCGGTGACTGATCTGCATATTTAAGATCAAAATCGCAATGAATACAAAATTATGGACGAGATAAGTGAGATTTTATCTATAATTTTAAAAATTCATTGTGATCTAATTGGATTACAAGTTGCTCATTTTTTATGACTTTCGTATTATATACTCAAATTTATAAGAATGACAAATAACAATTGAAGATCATTAATGACCACATTATTTCTAGATATACCTCAGGATTGTTTGCGGATGCTTAATGAGGGGTTAAACACACAGTGCACTGCCTAGTTCATTGTACCAGAGTCTTTTCTAATTTGCTTCCTTTTTTCCACTCGTTAGGATGCTTAGAAAACTCAAGAAATGATAATAATAACTAGTATTTAAAATGTAACTATCGCACAAGAAAGTATCTTTCATGTTGCAGATATGCTCTATAGCTATGTAATGACCGTTTGTTCAATAAAGCTCGACTGTTTTATAAACGTTGCCCAACAATGAAGATTAGAAACTCAGCAAATCAGATGCAAAGACATCTCCAATAATTATTGGAAATCAGTGTTTTTGCAAAAATTTTGATAGAGTATTTGTTGTGTTAGTTTCTGGCCTTTTAGTTTCTTTAAATATGGAATTATTTGTCGTGTGCTTATGTTGTATACTCTATTTTGAAAATCAAAGGCGAAATAAAGCGAAAAATGTCTTTTAAAACGGGTATATGAAAGAAAGAGACTGGAAACTTCTTTTTTAACACATAATATTCAAGTGATGAAAACGATGGCGGATAAGAGTAAATAATTAAAATTGTACAAAGAATAATGCACATTTTGGGCCAACCAATGATATAGTAAAACGTCGAGGACCTACGTGCGGTTGAAGTGATGTCATTGTCAGTACCACAATTTCACTTTCTTCACTTGTGTTTGTTCTCTTTCTGTTCTTCTATTGGAAAGTGATACTGCTTGGAAACACTGCTTGCACTTAATAAATATGTTCAAGCCGCCAGCAGGTTTATTTGTATTTCGTGGGCATTTTGAACATATGCACAAGTTCATTTAGTATTAATGTAGAGTGTTTATCGATATTTACTACTTTTTTACAATATTTTTGGTATCTATTTTTATTATAGAGATTAATTATTTTTATTAACTTATAGGAATTTTCAGTCACTAAGTTATTATTATATGATCATTAACATTAAAATAGTTCGTTCAGAATGTGCAATATTCTTTGTACACTATTAATTATTATTGCGTTTAGTTTCAAGGTCCCATTAATATTCTGTGGTATTAATCCCCATTAAAGGGAGTTGAAGTAACAAACAATTTTATTTTATTACATATAAATGCTATACTTATGACACCTTATTTTTTAAATCCTTAAATTCCTTCTATCAAAGAAGAACAAAAAATATGACGGCGACGTCAGGATCCATTAGCAAACAAACAATATCAACAATAAGCAAGGCTAATTGAAGCAATTCTACACTAATTATGCACAGACATTTAGATCGACTCTTACAACAAAAATGAATCACTTTTATAAAGCAAGACTTTCCAGACTAATCCTGCTAGCTATTTGTGCACGTTAATAACAGCAAAGTTATGATGCATGTCAATAGGTTGCCAATATGTGAAGAAATGAGCCTGGCATATTCTCACCCTATGTGACACAGTCTCGCCTAATTTGCGGTATATTTTTGCACCAAAACACTTGTTTTAATGAACACAATTATTGCTTATGAATAATTGAGTACTTTTTTATTTTCAATTTTTTTTCTTTAGAGTGCCATGAAATGTTATCTACTGCAGTTCTAATTATTTACTAATTTTAATGAATTAATAATATTCATTTGTTCAAATAGCATGGAAGGGAGGATAGAAAGAAATTATAACATGTGCAAAAAAATAATTTATTTAACCCATAACATATTTATAACAATTATTAAACTACATCTCTATATGTTAAATAATATTGAAATAAAGATAAACTTTATCATCTCTTGAGCACATTCTACTGATAAAAGAACAGTTGCTTTATAAATAATTATTGATCAATTTTGAAGCGTAAATTATAATGTTGTACTCCCTTAAAATTAATATAAAACACTCATATTCTTTCACTTAGTTTGAAGTGAAATGTGAACTTCGACGATTTGACTAGTAATAGTATTTCATTATTATTTCACAACCATTTGCTTCTTTCTTGCCTTCACGGAGTTTTCAAGTATTCGTTAAGTTTTTAATACGAAATTTTCTCGTTATATTTTCGTACAGCAATTTAGTAACTGCCAGTGAATGGACGACATATTATTGGGAAGAGATACTTGTTTCATGAATTAGAAAATATAGTCAATATATTATTTTCAATATATTTAAAATGCATTATATCTCAGACGAAAAATATATTGTTTTTTAATAGTTCTAAAGTTAATGTGGAAGACATCGTAAAATGAGTAAACGCTATTTTCATTTGAGTAACTTCACGACATTCTTAATTTTTCATTTTCTTGTATCAACAATAACGTTAATTTTATAAAATGTATGTCATAAAAATACAATATCCTCTAATTTCCCTACAATATATAAATATTGATGTTGGTACCGATAATATTGATGTAGTTTTTCGGAAATGATGTAATAATAAGATCACAATGACATGAAGGGATTTTAACACTTTATACATAGTTCTTGCATAAAAACGTTAGCACATCATGATGTATTACACAGAAATGTTCTCAAATTCTCTGCTTAACGGAAAGCACAGAAAAAAATAATAAATTTACAAGGGGACAAGCTGATAGTAAGAATTCTTATATTTTACTGTGAGGGTCATCAACGTTCTTAGTTTCAATGTTGCAAAATATTGTATTGTAGTAATTAAATAGCATTCTATTAATTAATGGTTAGATTAATGATTAAAATAGTGTCTATTCTGAATTCCTTTCAAGATACTAAATTTCCTGATGCATTTTATAATATTTGTCGCAATTGAGAGTGATAATTTACGTTGGTTTATGGAATGTTAACTTGTCAAGAAATTTAGCGTTAGGATACAAGATATGAATTGCTACATCTCACTCAAATACGAATGATACAGTCTAAGATATTACAGAAATACTTCACTCCGAAACAACAGTGTGCGTCAACAAGTAGGTATATAGATTTTCATTGATTCGTAAGAAAAGCAAACAATGGCACTTGAATTCAAAAATTTCAGATTGGCTTTGCCTCGACCGATTAGGTTTCGCTGATAGTAATATTACCAAGTGCTCTAACAGTGAAGACAGCACATCATCACGTTAAGTAACACAAGATAATCGAGTTTGGGCAAACTTTTTAGAATACAAATTATTGTTCTAACATTATTCTAGTAGTTATCATGACAAGTATTTCAGAAACTACGTAGTTATCGACATGAGTGCCAATACACAAACTTTGAAACCTCTACCAATATGTTCAAATAGCGCAGTGGTAACTCTGAGACCGAAGTTTGAGTTCCAAAGACAGACAAATTGACTGATCTGCTAAGACATTGCGAAAATCCTCTTATATTTATCGGGCAGAAGACATGAAGAGATCATTATAAGGAGACCCTGATCCTCTTGAGGTATGTCCACGAAGTGGTGTGGTCGCGTGCCGAAAAGAAGACACATAAGATGCTGGCGTTCCTCAAGGGTTTTTATTGACCTCTAGAGCAGGATTTCCCAACTGGAAGCTCTCGTCGGTGTGGTCGTTGATTGTCACGTCGGCCCAAAGGAGGGAGGGAGGGAGGGAAGGCACTCGGGACAGACCGCCGTCACGTGGAAGACGAATGGCAGAGCAACTGCAATGGACCACCGCGCGCAGACTGCCCAAAATTCCTGCATTTGAGCGAACCTTCTCCAGAGTTCGGTCTCTTCCGACTGGCGCATCTGCTAGCAAAACAATGGTTTAAATTGGAGTACGTATTCACACGAGTTGTACGGTGGCCCTGCTATGGCTGACTTCATATGGAGCCACCTGGTGACGCCACCGAGAAGGGACAGAGTCCTTCACACGCAGTCACCACCGACGGTCACTGACCGCGAGGAATGAAGATATCTCGAGTTACACCACTGTGGGCTCCGGCGGGGTAAGGCATCCAGCAGATAAAGGTCGGTTCAGTGGCGTGCCAGCTCAGTCACTAGGAAGCACTACAGGGAAACTCCACTGGGAAGCGAAGTTGGGCTTCTCTGTCATGCGTTTAGAGCTCGTCATGCGGGTCGGCGCCGCGCGGCGGGCGTCTCAGCAGAAGAAATCTGCTCTAAACAGCCAGTAGGAAGCACCATTGGGAAGCTCCACTGATAAGCGTCGCTGGGCTTCTTTCTCACGCGGCCCAACAGCAGCAGAAAGCAGTTCTAAATAGCCACTGGGAAGCACCGCTGGGCTTCACTGTTGCGTTCAGAGTTTATCGTGTGGGTCGGCGTCGGGTGGCGGGCGTACCGGCAGCAGCAGCGCCAGAAGAAGAACGCTGCTCAAAACAGACACTGGGAGGGGCCACTAGGAGATGCACTGGGAGGACGCCATTCGAGAGACTCCACTGGGATTGCCACTTGTTGAGAAATGGCACTGGAAGGCGCCACTGGAAGGCGCCACTGGAAGGCGCCACTGGAAGGCGCCACGAGGAGGCGCCACTAGATGGCGCCACTGGGAGGAGCCACGAGGAGGCGCCACTGGAAGGCACCACTGGGAAGCACCGTTGGGCTTCTCCGTCACACGTTCAAAGCTCGTCATGGGGGTCGGCGTCGGGCGGCGGGCGCCCCAGCAGCAGCAGGCAGGCGGCGAGCGCCTCGCGGGCGGCGTCGGCGCGCGCGTACGCGTCCTCCAGGCGCAGGTCGACGCAGCGCTGCACGCGGCCGCGCCTTCGCCGCGCGCGCCGCGCCAGCATCTCCGCGTGGTGCTGGAAGGTGGCGCCGTGCGGCGCGGCGCCGGCCAGCTCCGCCACTTCCGGGGCGCCGATCAGCGGCACCGCGCGCATCACGGCCAGCGCCAGCGACAGGAACTCCTGCGCCTCGCGACGCACCTCCTCGTCCTCCTCCGCGTCCCCGTGCTCCTCCGCGTCGTCGCCTGCGGCACCGCCCTCCGACCACGACGGCGGGTCCAGCGACGGCGACGCCTGCGACAACAATGGACACACACTGGCTCAGAAACGTGTCACTGCAGTGTGTCTGACCAGGGGTTCGTAGGGTACCACTGACAATATTTTCGACAAGAGGTAGATGGTCCTGGGGAGAGTGTCACAAATATGGCAGGATTTTCGATGCGAAGTAAATGGTCTTGGGGAACGTGTCACAAATATGGCAGGATTATGGACAAGAAATATATGGTACCGAGGAACGTGTCACAAATATGGCAGGATTTTCGGTAAGAGGTAGATGGTTCTGGGGAGAGTGTAACAAATATGGCAGGATTTTCGACGCGAAGTAAATGGTCTTGGGGAACGTGTGACAAATATGACAAGATTTTCGACAAGAGGTAGATGGTACTGAGGAACGTGTCACAAATATGGCAGGATTTCCTACAGGAAATAGATGGTACTGAGGAACGTGTCACAAATATGGAAGGATTTTCTACAAGAAATAGATGGTTCTGGGGAAGGTGTCGCAAATATGCCAGGATTTTCTACAAGAAATAGAAAGTCTTGGGGAACGTGTCACAAATATGGCATGGTTTTCGAAAAGAGGTAGATGGATTTAAACATAATAAAATATGTAACAAAATCATTGTGAGAATTAAATTTTTAAAATTGCTCCCAAAGCACACGTAAAGCAACTACACAAACTTCAAAAGAATAAATAATTTGTAACTGCGCTGATGAATCTATCTATACTGTTTTCATTACTAGTATTCTTTAGAATTAAACATGTGCAAAGTAGTATATTTATATAATCCAAAATTATGCTAATATGCATTAGTGTTTGTGAATATTGCAACACCCAGAACAAATGGCCAAAAACACTTAAAAATCGGTGAAGACAATTGAACGTACTGGCAATAAAAATAATCAAATATAGATTTTACGAACATGGGCAACATGCAGTAGTAAGAAGAGTTACACATCGGCCACAAACTCGACTGAACGCAACTTATAATTAAAAGGGGGCGTAGGTAAAGTTACCAGCTCGTAGCAGGACTCCAGCTCCACCTGCATCCGCGTCAGCAGCTCCCTGGCGCGCGCCTCCTCGTCCTGCACGCAGCGCGTCACGTGCGGGCCCGAGCCAGGCAGCAGCGCCGACGCCGCGGCGGCCGCCACCGCGTCGCGCTTCACGGGCCCGAAGGCGTCGTCCAGCACGCCCTCCGCGCGACGCCGCTCCTGCCGACACGACACTACCATTAAACACTCCGCCACGAGGACCAGGCCCTTCGCCACCAACCCCTCCATCCCCAGACACTCCGCCCCCTGAAACACCTCCGTCAGGGCCTCTGCTCTCATGCCCTATGGCCGCAGGCACTCCGCCTTCAGGCACACCGTCTTCAGGCCCTCCGCCGTCAGGCCTTCCGCCGTCAGGCCTTCCGCCGTCAGGCCTTCCGCCGTCAGGCCCTTCGCCCTCAGGCCCTCCGCCCTCAGGCCCTCCACCCCCAGAAAATTGTAAAGAATCGCATAATGACAAATGGGAAAAGGGATCGCATCATGGACAAATGGGACAAAATTACAAGAAATGAGAGGATAGTCAATAGAAAGTAAAATTTAAAAACAAGCTGTAGTGTTATTAATAATTACGAGGGCGAAACATAAAGTAAGTTGCACTACCAAGATAAGGCCATTCATGAAACCACCAACACAAGGCAATACAGCTATGACAACATACAATGTAAGTTTATATTTCCACACAGTCGCCAAGACTCTGTAAACATTGCTCTCAATGGTCAACCAACTGTTCGATTCCAGGTGCGTAGAAATCACCTCCAGCGCTATGTAACCACTTGGAGACAGCTGCTTTCACCTCCCTGTCGTTTCGGAATCGTCGTCCACCGACATGCTTTTTCAGCTTACTGAACACACGATAATCGCATGGCGTTAGAACTGGACTGTATGGAGGATGTTACCATACCTCCCACTGGAAACGCTGCAGTAGTTCGGACGTTTGGCAAGCCGTTTGAATGTTATCGTGAACAAAATCACACCGGCGCTCAATTTCACCCGCTGCGTTTCTGTATTGCCTTACGCAACTTGTTAAAGGTCTTACTATAAAAACGCAACTTTAATTTGGAGTGAACACAAAGTTGTGGCGCCAATGATCCTAGCCCGCTTTGAACACGCGAAACGACGGATCGTCCATCGGTCTGACCGTCCGTCGGTCTGACCGTCCGTC